TGAAAATATCCGAGGGACAAAATTAATTACCGTGGGTGTACATATGCTGTAATAATAGGTAAATGTTAAGAAAAGCCCCTTTATCACAACTTTTAATAAAAATATACAATCGATGAGTTTTTGCATGAAACGAAGGAATCTGGCAGAAAAAAGTTCGCTCTGCCTCGCGAACCGAGATATTAAGTATTAAAGCGAATTTATTTTTAAAGTAAAATGAATTTCGTAGCTGTGACAGATGTACTAACCTACATGGTTATCAATTTTAACGCTTAATATCTCGGTTCGCGAAGCAGAGCGACACTTTTTTTGCCAGATCCTTTCGTTTCATGCAAAACATCAATTGAGTATATTTTTATCAAAAGTTAAGGTGAAAGGGGTCTTCTTAACATTTACCATACCTACGGCTATAATACAGCTACTCGCAATATCGCAATCAGCGCAGACATAGCCATATTACATTCCTTCGGTGTAGTTCATGACGCATGCGCAGGATCATTATAAATTTTAGGGTCCACTTTATACAAGCTTGTATTAAGGGAGTTAGCAGTCTAGTAGTATATATAGAAGTCTGTGTGTAGGACACATAGATCAAAGGTACCGACACGGAGTGAAACTACTGTACTTACTTATACTGTGACGGAACGCAGCCTAGGACTCTAGGTGACAGTGGCCCTGATTCAACTTTATTTTTGTCATACTTTGTCTATTTGCGTTCTATCTATTTTTATTCCCTGCTTGCACCGTACGTGGCAAACACGTCACTGTGGGTGCGGTCGAGTTGCCACTACGAATACTTTGAAGCGTTTCTTGATTGGTCAATTTGTAAAATTCTTTCTTTTGATTGGTCAATCAAACGCTTCAAAGCATTTGTAGTGGCAACTCGACCGCACCCTGTGACATGCTAATTCGTCGCATGCTACGTTGCAGCGACGTCTCAATTGGTTTTCGAAACGTAATTGACACGTCGCTGTCACGTGACTAAATGTCAAATTTTTTGTGACAGAAACGTTACGGTATTTTTGTAACTTCATGTAATAGATTAAAGCCTATTCTACAATGACCGTAAGAAGTAAAAATTGACCAATTGTAATCGAATATGAGGAAAATAATCGATTACGATTGGTCAATTTTTACGGCTTATGGTCATTGTAGAATAGACTTAAGTCAGATTAATATAGACTTATTACTTATTACTTATGACTCATTTTTATAGACTTATGTCGTTATCTGTAAGAATTAACCAATCACAATCGAATATTCTCCTCTCATTCGACTGTGATTGGTCAATTCTTATGCGTGGTCTACAATGGCAGTAGTAGTAGTGGATGAGACTGTAAAGGTACACCCACGGTAATTAATTCTGTCCCTCGGAAATTTTCACAAAATGAAAAGTGACCACCTTTCTATATTAATTGTCACAATCCATGCACGATTAACGTTACGACTGAACCTTATCGTGCATGGATTTTGACAATTAATATAGAAAGGTGGTCACTTTTCATTTTGTGAAAATTTTCGAGGGACAGAATTAATTACCGTGGGTGTACAATTTCATGCTGACGCTTGACGCTTATTTTTAGCGTCAAGCGTCAGCATGAAATTGTACCTTAAGAGTAATTCATCACGGTCGATTATTCTTCTCACATTCGACTGTGATTGCTCAATTTCTTACTTCTACAGTCTCATCCACTACTGCTACTGCCATTGTAGACCACGCATTAAGCTGGTTCTACATTAGTTGCAAGCCGATCGCAAGTTCGTTGCGATAGCCAATCTCAAGCTTGCATTTTGAAATCAATGCTTCAGATTGGCTGTCGCAACAAACTTGCGTTCGGCTTCCAACTAATGTAGAACCGGCTTTATAGGCCTTCTACAATAAGCCATTACCTAAGTTTTAAGTATTAAGTCATAAGAAATTGACCACTCAGTCAATTATTCTTCTCACATTCGATTGTGATTGGTAGAGGGCATAGCGGAATAAGCATGTCAAATCTGCCCCCGCACCAATCGAGCTCAAATTGGTATCATTAGTTGGTACTTCTGAGGTGTAAAACTTCCTCAAATATTAGCCTTGAAATTGCATTTTTTTGGGAGTTATAGAGGGGGAAAGCGAAACAAAGAAGTGGTTTTTTTTTTAAAACAACTGTATCAATTTTAATGAAAAAAAATATATGTTGTAAACATCGTTCAGATAAGTTGAAAAAAATTTTTTGAAATTTTTACAATGTAAATTAAACCATTAAAAAATTTTTTAAATTCTTTAGGAATTTTTTTTGTTTATATTTTTGAGATACCACTTTTATACTTCATGAAAATAATCTGTAGACTCTCAACTTTAACATATATTTTTTTTATGCCCGTTTCCTCCAAAGTGGTTCAGTTCAGAGTTCTTGTGAACTACGTTCAACTTTGAACGGAGTTTAATCTTCGATCAACTTGTTTTGCTTTCCTTCAACTTTACCTTCGTTCCGATCAACTGAACGTACACCTAATGCTTGCTAACTCAAATTGTATTTAGTAACAAATGATGTGATTGGTGGACAGCTAAGCAGTGTGTGAGGATACATATCATAACTAAAATCTAACCTAATTATAAGTCGTACAAATCAATCGTTTATTTTTACAACAAACTTTTATTGTGATATATTAATTGTTGCTGATATATATAGATCAATATAATTATTCTTAACAATATTGGGATATATAAACACGAATATACACGAGAAGCAAAAGGAACAATTTCCAGAAGTAATTTCTTAACCTAACTTATAATATAAATATTATATAATCTCTTGCATTTAAATAAATTAAATTGTTTCTTTTCTGTGTTTAGAGTTGGTTCTCTTTATAAAAATATATTTATATATGTACAAATGGACCAAGCAAATAAAAAAGAAAGAACCAAAAATTTTAGTGAATCTGAAAAAATGCTTAAATAAATGCTTAAATGCTTAAATAAATGCTTAAATAAATAAATAAATAAATAAAAAGCATTTATAGCATTTATTTTATTTTAATTTAAGCATTTATTTAATAAATGCTTAAATGCTTAATAGTTCATGCGTCGTTTAAATCTTCTGGGTCTTCTGTCGACATATCCCGGTAAAAAATTTTTCATATACGAATATATATAAATATCATTTTTCATATACGTAAATATATATAAATATATACGTAAATTATATAAATATATAAATATCAAGTATAAACATTCATAAACATATATAATATTATAAATGTGTTTACCGGATTATATCTTCGTCGTCGTCAGATGACGATAAAATATTATAATATGCCATTAATACTCGTTTTTTTGTATATACTATATGAAGAAGACATTGCACATTAACCTTAAAATATTAACTTTTCATGTTAGCTTCTGCTTAAACGAGGTTTAAATTCGTTAACCGGCCAAAAATGACCGTTCACGATGAACTCCGTTCAATCGCTTTGAACTTCTTTTAAAAAGTTGGTGGAACGCAAAATGTCATTGATCGGAGTTTAAACTGGGTTCAAATTTTGAACCGCGTTGGAGGAAACGGGCATAAATCTGCCAGTTCAAATTCCGAAGATGATATAGATGATGAGGCTGATGGCGGTAGAAAAGACAATGATGAATCTGATAAGGAGGAAGATGTATTAAATGTAATTAATAATATTATTTATAATCATGTGTAAAATATTATATGAGCGCTATAATCCTTTGTATTTCATTGTTATTTTACAGTTTCTTAAAAAAAAAAAATTAAATTGGAAAAATTGGAATCCCCAAAAATTACGAACACAAATTAGCACTCCACTCAGAACATCAACGAACACAAATGAATCTATGCCATCTATGGATTATTCAGCTAGTACTAATCAAAATAAAAAATCAAAAGAAAATATTATGCCATCAGCAATTAAAAAAACCGTAAACAAAACAAGTAATCAGTTAAAACATAAAAATAATTTTAATAATAAGAAATGTGATACATTGGCAGATAGTAAAACAGAATTAATAAATTTAATGATAAGTAATGGGAAAGAAAAACATGAATTTGAAATTAAAATTTTAGAAACACTATTGCAAAAAGAAAAATTGCAAGCTGAAATAATGCAAAAGGAATTAGAATTGAAGAAATTGATTTTAGAAAAGGAACTACTAAAATTAAAAAACGTGTTATAAACCTAATATGCATATATATTTTACTTTTTCTTTGCATAAGTAAAAAAATCAGAAGATTTTATATTATTTTTAAAAATTAAAACGAAATTTATTTGCTAATTATCTTAAAACTCGAAAGAAATTCGAAAAACTTCGAAGGAAATTCTAAAATTATTCATTCACTATTATTCATTATTATCACTATTATTAATACATACTATTATTATTATTATTATCATAAGTTTTCTAAAAAAATCAAAAGTATTACTCCTGATGAATTTTAGAAAAAGATTATTTTTTAAATGTATATATGAGATTATGAGTAGAATAATATTTTACACTTACTTGCATTTAAATGCAAGGATAAACTCTCGCTACATTTATAGTCTCATATATACGTAGTTACTGCCAAATAATTTCGATTTTTGTTACGCTAAAGAGCTGTGATTATTAAATAAGTTTATTTATTTAACATAAATATTACTTTATTTTGTTATTGGTCGCGTTCAGCAGACTCAACTGTTGCGGAGCGGATCCGTGAACGGCTGAATGCTCACTGCTATTGGATGATCTAAAAGAAAATGTACCAATATAGTAGTGAGCGCTCACGGATCTGCTCCGCAACAGTTGAGTCTGCTGAATGTGACCATTGATACACAGTTTATATGAATAGTTTGCTCCATAAAATAAATATAAGTTTAATAAAATTAAGTATATTATCATTAATATTTTATATGAGAAAAGCACAATACGTTACGTTTTCAAGAAATACAATACATTTATTTATATTGAATTAATTAATATTAAAATAATATAAATACGTATTTAAAATAGTACTTTGTTTCAGCAGATTTTCTTCTTCATTTTCTTTGTCGAAATTTACAATAAACTGTAATACAAACAGAAGTGTAATTATTAATATATTGCTTTAATAATTTATATAAGTAAAATTTATATACATTGTATTATTTTTCTTTACCTATGAAAATAGTCGTTAATAAGTATTCTTCTGTCAGCTGCATTGTCATTATTTCTGTAGTCTACATTATCAGGATTTATATTGCCATAATTAAATATTTCTTCCCAAGGTGCTGGAAGATTTAAGTTAGGATCTTCGAGTGGTTCTTCATCTCCATTTTGACGAGCAACATTGTGTAAAACAGCAGTAGCTATTATTACAGCCATTACTGAGTTCAATCGTAAACGTAATCCTAAAGCTAAAACTGGAAAACGTCTTTTCCAAATTCCAAAGAGCCGCTCAATTATGTTTCGAGTACGTATATGCGATTCATTGTAAAGTTGTTCAGCAGGAGTTCGTGGATTTAATAATGGTGTCATTAAATATGATTTTATAGGGTAACCACTATCACCTAATAACAGTCCATCCCTATACATTCCTTGTTCAAATGTACCACGCAATCGACTATTATTAAAAATAGTACTATCGTGTGTTGATCCAGGCCATCGAGCTACTATGTCAGTAATTTCTAAATTACTATTTGTCACAACTTGCACGTTTAAAGAAAAATATCCTTTCCTATTTCTAAATAGTTCTGCATTTTCAGTACCTACAATACAATAAATAAAACAAGTTTAAAACCTTATAATTATTTCTAGTATTTCTATATATATCGGTTGCTAAAATAGGTATGTATGATAAAACTATAAATAAAATTATGTGTTTACCAAATGATTGAACACGAACATGTGTACAATCTATACAACCTATAACTCTAGGAAATCGAGAAATTTTATAAAATTCCAATTGTTGTTTCTTTATTTCATTATTTCTAGTAGGAAATTGTACAAAACGTGGTCGAAGTCTGGCAATTGCGTTCGTAACACGATGAATAATTCTGTGAGCACTAGTAGTGCTAACTCCAGCAAAATCACCTGCAGATATTATAAAAGATCCTGTTGCATAAAATCTGAGTGTTAAGAGAAGTTGTTGCATTGGAGTTATAGGATTATTTCTGAAAAAGTAAATATTTATATTAATCAGTTTTTAATATAAATGACAATAAGTGACATAAGGATAATAAAAAAGATATACATACCTGTTTGATCGAAATATTAATGCTTCTTCTATGTGATTTAATATTAGAAGAATGCTATTTTTGTTTAGGCGAAATCTCATTTTAAATTCAATGTCGTCCAAATCATCAAAATAGTTCATGCGTCGTTTAAATCTTCTGGGTCTTCTGTCGACATATCCCGGTAAAAAATTTTTCATA